AATTAATTCTTTATGAGTTAATTTCTTAGAAGAACTCTCTCTATTTCTTCACATATTCCGCCAAACGAAGTTTTCACCTTTCTCCACTCGAAAGGAAAAGGAGAAAACAAATTTAGTAACGGCAAAACAGCCGTTACAGGGGGGAAAACCAAATCTGCAGCTTTGTAGAGCACACTTCGCTCTATCAAACTGACATACTCCTCACCCTGGTTCATCTCGGTTTTCTGGTCGATTTTCTCGGGCACTCCGACCTTCTTCTGTTCGACAGAATCGATGGGAATTCACTGCAAGCACAATGAAAACATTCATATTTCATATTCCGAATATGGGTCCGTTTTCTCTCCACGAGTTACCATTGCCGAGTTACGGCCTCTTCTCTGAAAATTATGCGATGGAGTTTCGGCAAAAATCTATAAGCACGTCCAAAATGAGCTAGAGTGTATCTCGGAAACAATGCGTTCGAGAGACCTACCGTAATGGCAAAAAATGATCAGCTCAACGAACTCTTTAAACACTGGAAGCTTCATCAAAATCAGGCGTCATCGCCGGATGGATCTGACGGTTTCCGGTAGATTCACCCTACATGAAATAAAAGATATTGTCTTTTCTCTCGAATATAAAAAGAGGATGCACACTGTCTCGATCTTAAGATGATGATCGGAGGTCTTCTATTAAACGGCCAAGTCGATGACGGTTGTCATATGCTTCCATTTCTTCCAAATGCCCATGAGCTAAATCAACTAATCTGTCGATGCTTGCCTCTCGAAAATCGTCAAGTTCAATAGGGTTTTCGAGCCATATTTGCCAACGGTAATAGTTGCTACCAAGAGTTCTGTGCAGATGAAGATCTATATTATTTTGAGGACCATCCATTAGTACTTTCAGTACAGATTGATAATTTCGAGCCCAGAATAACAGATTTCGACCTGCATCAGGATTGAGTGGATCGGGAACATAATCACCTGTGCCCAAGGATAGAAGTCGGATACGATTTTTGTCGCAATTTGGATAAATATCTAAAATATGATCGTAAGCAATCATTGATGGATTATTTGCTTGTACACCACCATCAATATAAACAGTATTTTTCAATCGATAGGGCGGAAAATAAGTGGGTGCAGCTGTTGTGCACATTAGTATTTCTGTGAGAAGAGAGTCTTCGGTTAAATCTCGACGACTCGCTCGTCGGGTGAATATGTCAGTAGCGTTGCTACCACTTTTCACTACCGGTATCACTAGCTCACTAAGAGTATTCGATAATTTTGAGCCGCCGAAATATTCATAGAATAACATGTGACGACCTTCATCAACATATTTCGATTCCTGCAGCAACGAAGCCCTAACACGACTAAGAAAGCTTGGATTTCTGGAGAATACCTGCTCAGCCTTTGCACGGTATAACTGAACGAGTTCGTATGCTTGATAAGGTTTAGATGGATCCTCCAGTGAAGGTGTCGTTAGTCCTGCAGCAATGATGGCACCAGTGGAAGTGCCAGCTACAACATGAAATAGTGACGAAATTGGTCGTTTGATCTTATGTTCAAGTGCCATCAGCCAAATAGCCGGAATGACGCCTCGAATTCCACCTCCATCAATAGACAGAATATTATAAAACGGTTTTTCGTTACTACGACCAGGAAAATTATAGCTTAAATCTAACCGTTCATTTACTTGTATTCGTTCGTCTTTCATTTTGATCGCTTTTTCTTCTCTTCGAACTTCGCAATTGAGTGGCTCTAATCTTATAGCTTGTTGAATTCCATACTTCGCAATCTTATACTCACCAATATTTCTTTGGGCTTGAGCATAAACTAACCAGACATCAGCTGACCAACTACGATCTCCACTGCTCAAACGTTCATTAATACGCGAATATCGATGTTGTTTTAGCAAACATTTACAATAGCCTAATTCGGCTGAAGCCAGATGTTGTTTTGTGGCTACTTCTTTTACGCTTAGAACTTGAGCGTAATAATCTTGTGCCTTTTGCCAATCAATTAAAGCTATTCAAAAAATGTGTGTAAAATAAGACTAACAGAAAAATTAAACAAAAGTTGTAAACAGTCTCTATCGACCAGGGTGGTGTGATTGACAAAAAAGACTTTTTTTAAAATCTCTTTGGTAGTTGAGGCATAATATTACGTACATAAGAAATAGACAGAAACTCATTCATATGATAAACATACCATGTGTGAAAAGATATTACAAAGAGGAGTAGATGTTTTTTGGAAAATGCGATATCTTCGCATAGTTTCTTCTCGTGATACAAAAGTATCACAAGTCTCAAAACTTTCGAAAAATGAGCTCAACACTGCTTGTTTAGTGAAAACAAGCAGTTTATCTTTCGAATTCCGTAAAACACTTGGTATTTTTTTGTACCTGAAAGTTCATAACTATATTACCTGCTAAATGATTCTGTTTATCATTCTGATGCGCTTCGTTCATATAGTGTTCAGCAATACGTAGAAGAATGACTGCTCGCTCTGGATGATTTTCAGGTGTATTGTTTAATTGCCATTGGAGATGAGTTATTTCGATAGGAACCAAGGTAAATAGACAACTGATATGGTCTTGTTCTCCACGAACTACTACAAATAATTCACGGAGTCCACTCCTGCCCGGCACATAGTCTATCACAGGATGCGATGCTTCAAAGACTATTCCATATTGTTCGTCTTGAATGATGTCACAAGGTTGTATTTTTATATTGCCAAATGCAGAAAGAAGCGGTAAATAGGCACGATGTTGAAATATTTTTTTATTTGATCGGAATTTGATTGCCCATTCCGATAGATTAGAAACACGTTCCTGATGAAGAAGTTCAAGGATAAGTTGATCAGAACTCGAATACTTCTCCGATACATATTGAATAAACATTTCACAATTAAAACCAAGTTCACCAGGCACTAGACAAGGTAGCATTATTAATTGATCACTGTTAGCATCCACTTCTTCCACAAAATTACAAGCGCGATATCCAAGATCGGTTTTCAGATATCTGATATTCTTGACGTCAACTGTTATGTTGCTGGCGATGGTACACATGCCAGATGGATTAGCCAAATTCGTATTATCATCGTCCATTCCAAATGCACTCAATAGATCTTCGAGAGCTTGAATTCGTTCATCTGGTATGACGAAAAATCGATCGTGATATGTATTCTCTGATGATTTCAAAATTTTCAGCGATTGTTTACACCGTTCAAAATTGTCTTTACCTACAATGAAAATGACTTTGAATTACCGTTGTGATGAATTTTAAAATCCTAGTTTTTCTTAAATACTCTGCACTTATAGAAAACCTCGTTCAAATAGATACAGACACTCAAGGCACAGTCTACTGTTATGAAGACTAATCAAAACTGGTAGTCTCGCTGTATTATTTTGATTAAAAGAATGTCGAACTATGCACTACTAGTTGAGGAAATAATGTATGTAGATGAGCTTTGGAACGTTGAAGGAGAAGTGAATGTATTAGAACTATATAGTTACCTCCGGCCAATAAACAAGCAATAGCATAGTTAAGTCGAGCGAGTTTGCAATAGCCTGCAAGCCGATCAGAATATGGAGCTTCGTGTGAGTCTTCAATGTCTTTTTCTGAAACTGAAGCAAGAATCTTCTTTGCAGCTTTTGTGATCTTCAATTGATGATATTTCTGAACGCGTTCGTCGAGTTGAACAGCTGCTTTACTTAATTGTTCACTGTCGTAAACTCCTTGAAAAAGGATTTTACTTTGTTCTAACAGTGCTGTATGTTCTGGATTTTTTCGTGTCGGATCAGCAAAATCAATACCACGTAGAAGAACTTCTCCAATCAAAATAAGAAGATGTGCGATTTTATCAGCTCGAAAACCATGTTTAAGTAGAGGTCGTATAAGTTGATCAACACGAATTTCAACACTAATCGTCTCACTTCCTAGTTTTGTATCCATTAGCTGGCGATCTTGATAGTAGGACTTTGATAGATCCTGAATAAATTTAGCGTATTCTTCATTATTGTAAAATTTCACTGCATCTTCCATTAATTTATTTAAACTGAGTCGAATAGGGTATTCGTCCGAAAGAACTTGTACAGAAGATCGATTCTGGTCGTTTTTAAATACGATTTTGTTCCACATCCACGATCCACCGGCAATGATAAATTCAGCAGCTAGAGGAAGAAATGCACTTGCTAAAATTCCACGTACTTGAAGATATCGACCGGTCGATGTCTGAAAACTCGAATCTACCCCAAATTGGTTTTCGACACTGAGGTCTACTATTTGAGCACTTCGTACAACACATTTTCGAAGAATCGCTTCTCGGATGAATACTTGGGTTTCGTCATGAATTTCTCTTGATGACAATTTAGGATTTGTGCATAGTATCAGTTCTCGATTTGTATTTGAAGATGCCGCAGCATCCATTTCAGTGATAGTATTTCTCGCTAAACCTTGATATTTTTCCAACGCTATTTGCAACTTTCGTAATCGTTGGTACAACTGTTCAGTCATACCCAAAAGTGTTATTATATAAATTGCAGCAACAATGTATAGTTGAGCTTCAATGTTATGCTTTCCTGATAGACGCATCACTAAGGCCATCCATTCCAGAATCTGAGCTCGCTGTAAAATATCAGCTTCATTATGGGCCATTTTACCGAGAGATTTAAGAGCAGCTCGATAATGTTCAAATGCTGTAAGAGCCTCAAATGTAAATAATTTTTCTAATTGCTCAACATTTAATTCCTCATCTCCACCAGATTTAAAACGCTTTTTAAATGTCATTGATAATTCTGCATGTTTATGTCCTTCATCGATTTCATTTTGTACGACAATTGATTTAGCACAGAGTGAATGAACTTTTGAAAGATGGCGATCACGAGTAGAATTAATATGTTTCATTAATTCGTCGAACACTGGATTAGCACGATGTTTATCTGAATGGAAAAGTCGAACCCATTCTTTATGACGCCGTGTGATGCATTGTTCGGTTTTAGGAATATTGTGAAATAACATTTCATCCAAATGAGGAAGATCAGAAAGAAGAATATTCGCAAAATATTCTTGTCGATTTTCTAAACTATTCAAAACTAAATCAATTATTTCGATTAATAAATCCAGATTATTCACTCTTTCATGATTATTTTCTTCCAATACCGTATCAAGTTCATTCACTTTCAACGTTTCGAATAAACTCTGAACGTTTTTACAATTATTTTGTAGTAGATAATATTGATCAAGTGTTTGTATAGGATGCTGAAATATGCTTATTAGCAGTTGGGAAATCTTTTTTAGTGTATTTGTTATTTGATCTGTATTTTGCGATTGAACCAACGATGAAACTAAATTGAGTATTATCTCCCATGAGGATTCGGAATCATCTTTCGTTTTATTATTAGATGTTTGATCAGTTCCAATAAAGGTTTCTTTTACTACGTTTTGACTACGTAAGGATGTATATTTCAGTAATAGCTTTTCTTCTTTTTTTCTTTTTTCTTCATTTTTCATCTTTTCATAATATCCAAGACGGAGCAGATGGAAACGATATCGATGTTCTATGAAATGAGGATAGGATACTCCTTCGAAATCGGTTATTTGTTCGGAAAGCTCGTTAAATTGCCGTTCAATCGCACTGGAATCGAGTGTTTCCTCTGTGAGACTAGTAATAACGACATCGAATGCTTTTGAAATACTATCATTTAAGTCAGATATATTTTCCATCTAAATAAAACAAAAATATATATGGTATAGATACAAGGCAAACTTCTCTGAAGAACCCATTTCATCACCTAGTGAACCACTCGTTTGAGCTTATTACAGAACAATTTTAAGAAAGGGTAAGGTAAGGTGTCAATAGGAACATTATGCTAAATTTTTATGGTATCAAGACAATTAGAATCGGATAGCACAGAATAAACTCCACCTGTTGGTAAACTATGAAAAAATACCGAATGCAAATTAATTTAAAAAATGGTGTGAAAAACAAAAATTCCACGATCCATTTTGTCTTTTTTTATAGTTGGTCTAGTTTATTATTTTGGCAACAAAGACAACGTGAAGTCAAGTGATATCTCTCACTATACATTTCATTTCAAAAAGTATTTTGAAATCTTGACATCTTACATTTTTATTTTTTGCGATTAAAATGCACGCGATGTGACCTCAAGTATATGGTCATTTTTTGTGTTGTTCTGTAGTATATAGGGTGTTAAAAAACCTTTACGCCCCCCCTTAGCGACATAATGAATCAATGATATAATCAACTATTTTATACCAGATTAAAGCCCGTCAAAAACTGCGTCTAAGGGCCTAATTGAATAAACAATAGATAGACAATTATCAAAATATTTTGGACACATATGAAAATGTCGTAAATTATACAATTTCGAATCTAGCAAAAATTTATTACGTTTTTTTTTACGCATTAATTACTTGTCGATG